GGAAGGAAGGAAGGAAGGAAGGAAGGAAGGAAGGAAAAGAAAGGAAGAAGAGCTTCTGGGCACTCTGTAGTCACTACCTGCTCTTCCCCTGCCTGTCCTTGATGTCACATTTATCCTAGGGACTTAGGGAAGGTCCCCTTGCATCCAGTGACTCCTGTGAGCATGCTGTGTGAGGGAAGTTGAGAAGTACGGGGTGGTATCGGAACACTTCTTCCTGGACAGCAGGGCAGTATAGGAGCTAGACAGCGCCAAGGTTGCTTAGCCTTTGCTGGCATTTTCTTTCTTTTCCCTCCCTCCTTCTTCCCTTCCTTATCCTTTGTCCTGTTCTTCCTACAAGGGTGCCCACCCAAGATGTGGTGTGGTATGTGCAAAACCAGACAGGTTGGAGACAGCAGAGTGCCTGACCTGCTCTGGACACGGTGGGAAGCCTCCATCTTGTCTGGGACTCCAGGGTGCAGCCTTACCCCTAAATGGCCCAAGGAGGAAGGCTGTCTATCTGTCCAGTCTGCAGAGCTGAACTGGAAAGTGGTCAGCAGAAATCAGCCGAAAGCTCCCTCAGACTCGTGCATATAAAGCAGGGTAGCTGGTGGAGACACCCAGGGAATGCATGGATGTCCTCAGTATTTGACTCAGGGCTGGCTGGAAAGATCTGGAACACTGGTAGTTTGAACAGCGAGACTGCACCTAGGACCAAGGTGTGTGAGGCTCTCAGACCAGCAAAAACCACAGCTCCCTCCCTGCACGTGCATACAGCTCCACCCTGCTGCACCCCCCCCCCCCCCAGACACTTAGATCAAAATGTGCTGTGGTTTTCACATCCTCTGGGAGCCACAGACAGCAGGTGCTCTTGGCAGCTCTCCAGGGAACCAGTTCGGCCCCCCAACCCCCCACCTCGCATAGAGAGTTCCTGACTGGGGTGTGGGCAGGAAGAACATTTAGGGCTGAGGTGCTGACCCCCACCGGGCCCATTTTTGAAGGGACACCTCATGAAAAAATGTGAACGCAAAGTTGGAGGCAAGAGTTAGACCACCTAGAAGTTAACAGTGGGTGGACAGGAGGGTGGTGAAAGGTTCGACAGGATGACAGCTGGAATGACAGCTGGACGGAGAGACAGACACACTGCACAAGAGTGGGCGGGCCAGATACAATCTAGGAGGCTAGTAGCTCTGTCTGCTCCCAGTTTTATCCCCAGCCCTACACACAACAGGTGCTTAATAAAGTTTTAATAAAAACCTGCATTGTGGCCCGTCTTAATTCCAGGATCTCAGGCTGCGAGCTAGATTACTCTAGACATGGTTGGTGAGGGATGTCTTCTGACTGGGAGGAGCTGGCCAGTTGCTGATGGGCACCCAGGGCACCGCATGAGGATAAGACTTTAGGAAGGAGGCAGGGCTTGTTAGACAACAGGAAATACATAGGAGGTGTGACACACATCTTTATCCCAGCGAGGGTCTCCAGCAGATACGACCAAGAAGCAGAGCCATCAAAGGCAATGGGTGCCCATCACCTAAGACCAGTTAGAGTAGCCAGTAAGGTGTTCTGAAAGGATGGGGTGTCACATCACACTCCACAAGTGTGCATGGCCTTTGATGTTCATGTTTTGCCCATCTTGACTTTGAGGGCCTGGGCTATCCCCTTGGGCAGGATGAGCTGGACCTGCCTGAGATCTGTCACCTCTTTGAAATCAAAGAGGCAAACCTCTTAACAAATACCCATGTGTGTCTGCCACTTTGCTAGCTCTGGGACAGGGCACTAGATGTCCCTCCCCCCACCCACGCCGCTGTGTAGTCAAGGCAGACACGTGCCCCGAGCGGCTTCACTCTTCTCTCTGTAGTAGTACTGGGGTTAGAACCCAGGACCTCACAGATGGTAGGCAGGTCCTCTGACTGAGCTAGCTTCCCTAGTCCCCCTTTTACTTTTCCTATTTTGAGTCAGGGTCTAAATTGACTGGGCTGGTCTTGAACTCTTGATCCTCCTACCCCAGCTTCTGAATCCCCAGGCCTGCTGTTTCAGCCTTTCCTCGGGCTACTAGGAGGAGTCAAGCCTGGAGCTGCGGGGGAGGGGGGTAGTCACAACAGGAGAGAACAGCCAGTCTGAGGGGCTGTGAGGTAGAAGCCTGGGAGCTCCTGGGTGGAGCCATGCCTGAGGCTCATGAGAGGAATGGTCACTGTGTGCTTCACTCTTTCCAGCTTTTGGCCTTCTAGGTCATGGCCATAGGGTCAGAGAGGTTGCAAGCAGAAGCAGTTCATCCTTTCTAATGGAGCACTTATGAGTCACAGCGCCTCCTAGCTGTCCTCCTGTGCCATGGGCATTGGTGGTGACTGTTGGCCCTCTGTGGCTCTCTCTGCCTGAGGACAGGACTGAGTTTCCTGTACCCGTGAGGGTACGACGTGTGAGCCTGACATTAACTACGTCATTTGATACTGCGGAGGTATGACTGTTAGGCAGCACACCCCTTCTTGTCCTGACCAGTCCGTACATCTCCAGTCTGTGTGTGTCAGCCGGTTTGAGGTGGGTGAAAAGTTTCTACACCCTGTAAACCTCTCCGCTGATGCAATAATCCAAGTCAGACTAAATCAAACTGAATTAGAAAAAGCCCAGGTTTAACGGATATCAATGCTCCCGGGTGGCTCTCCAGCCCCCCAGAGAGGAGCCAGGGAAGGAAGACCCAGAAAACCATGTGTTTATTCTCCGAGGTGCTGTTTAAATACCCTGTGGGAGTGGTCTTGAGCATCTCTGGGAAGGGGTCATCGCTTGGTGGGCTTTTTTGGAGGTGGAGTCTGGACTGTGAAAACTCCCAGGGGTGGGGGCTTGGGATGGAACTTCCACCCAAACATTCCAGACTCTTTAGATATATGGATGCCAGGGGCTGGGGTGACGCTTCCAACCAAACAGTGGTTTCCTGTTGCTTGTGGCAGGAAGTGCTCTATAACAACCACAATGAAAAGACAACTCCCTTCCTAAGGACCTCAGTGAGAGGAGGGGAGGGGGCTGGGGGCATGGTTCACAGCACAGCGCTTGTGTGGCATTCAAGCCCCGAGGAAGGGGCATGAAAAAAACACCAGGGGTCAGGGCAGAGTTGCTTAGAGTCGTTTGTTTGTGGCCTCACAGGGAGCTGGGCACTGACAGCAGGTGGCACGCCTCCTCTGCCCTCCCACAGGTCTCTTGAAAGCTGTGTCCCCTCTGCAAGAACTCCAGCAACCTTACCCCAATATCTCCAGGGCATTTTCATTGTGGTGTGGTCTGGGGCCTCCAGGGTCTCATGCAGGAAGGTATCAAGGAGAAAAGCCACCTCTCACCCTGGGAACAGAAGCCACAGTGAAGGACTCCCCAAGTCCACTGAGCCCTCGGGAAGCTGTGTTTTGCTTGCCATCCTCAGCGGATAGAAAGAGCCTTGTGTCTCAGGCTGCAGTTGCCTGGACATGGCTACCACTTACCAAGTGGCACAGCCCACATGGCCCATCCAGCCCCAGCCATACCACAGGAAACAGGTGGAGAACTCTCAGGGAGTCCTGACAAGCCATTTCTCCTGTGGCTGTAACTTTTCCTGCCGGTAGAACAAGCATGGACTCCAATGACAAACTGGAGAGGGGACATGCTCTGTCTAGAGCTATCCATGCGCTTACACAAAGGTGTCAGGGCCAGGGTCCGGTTTACACAGCACCTCAGTGTGGTGACTAATTGTGGCGGGGGCCCTTATTCCCAGCTGCAGCACACATGGCCTGGCTTTGCTCCCAAACAAATGTGTTAACAAAACCCACCTTGGACTTTGCTACCTGTCTGTTCCTATCAGCAGGGGCAAGGATTGAAGCTGCTGTGCGTCAGGCCCCAGATGGGGCAGGGCTCTGAAGGGATGCTCAGCTATGGGAAATGACTGAATGGAGGAACTGTCCTCACAGGACCTGCAGAAGACATGGAAAGGAGGCAGAGTTCCCAGAAGTTTGTAGAGGCCAGAACTACACCCAACCACGTGACAACCTGAGGTCCTGCCCCCGCTAATTTTGAGCTTTCTTTCCTGACTTGATAGCCCTGTGTAGGAACCTTTGCCTTATGCTCTTCGGTGAGCACAGGGCTGCTTCTCCATCCCTCCACCCTTGGTGCTGTGGAGGGTCTTTGAGGCAGGCAGCCTGGCGGGAAAACCATCACACCTGCCCTACCACTAGCTTCCAACTTTGTGGAAGCTGTTTTAACCTTGTGGGCCCTCAGTTTCCTCATCCTTGAAACAGGCATGAGTCATGTGTGCTTCTCAGGATGGCCGTGACACGAGCTCTCTGTCGTGTCCAGAACGGTGTCTGATGTGCGTGCAGATATGTGCTCTCAGTAGCATTTTTGCAGGAAGTCACCTGGTTCCGGGAGGTTTCACAGGTTGCTGCTGCCCTCTGCTGCTGAACAGGAGTCAGACAGCCTTCCAGGTCTCCTGCCAGCCAGAGGCGGGAACAAGAAACACTGGTGAGAGTTGTTGATGCTAAAGCCAGGAGACCGAGGGGCAGTTTAATTCAGCAAGGCCTGAACCCCAGCCCTCCAGTGAACGGGATTGCCTTGCACACTGAGGGGTGGTGAGAGACACACACGGACACACACGTTCACACAGCTGGAAAATCAGTGCGGTCAAGAGGCCAGGGGAAGGATGGCTAGCCAGGGAGCTCAGAAGAGGCATCTCACCATTACTCACGTGCAGGCGGCTCTAGTCCTCGGTTGGGTCAGCTGAAAAGAGGACTCTGACCACAGTAGAGTGACTATGACCTGGGCAGGGCTTGGAGAGGGGAGGGACTGAGCCCCTAAACAGGCTGGAAGATGAAGACCCTGCATGAGATGCGCTCTGGGGGTGGGGGTGGGGGTGGGAAGCTCTGTATAAACTCAGGCTCCAGCGCAGGAGGCTGTTTTGCTGTCTTGGTAGCCCCAGGTGTCCCAGGGATGTTATGGAAGGAAAGTGAGCTGCATCACGGGCATCATTCGCAGCAAATGACACGAAGGTCTGTTTCCCAGGGTGTGCCCTCGTGAGTGTAAATGCAAAAGGCCTCCGAATGTCCTGGAGAGGTAGGCGCAGGAAGGCCTGAGCCATGTGTGCAAGTTCTACGTCTAAGAGAACCATTTGGATGCTGTTTTCCTAAAGAAACAAAAGAAAGGATAAAGAGGGCCAGATTGTAGGTACACAGGGAACGGATCACATAGCCGAGGACCTGTGGCAGGCCAGGTAGCCCAGTGCCACCTCCCACAGTCCTTGGTGAGAAGTGACAAGGTCTGGCGAGGTGAGGAGCCAGCCAGCGGAGCTCTTGGGGTCGGGAGGCACAGCAGCCCTGCATTGCCTTTTCGAAGCCTTTGCTGCTGCTTGTTCACCGTTTCCTCTCCTCTGAACCGGAAGTTCTCAGCAGCCCAGCAGCTCCCTGGTTTCCAGCTGGAGGTCTCCTTCCTCCTGTCCTCCCCAGGGACTTTGGACTCACCGGCCTGCTGAAGTTTCTAGAGGTCTTTGTGTAGAGCTTGGACAGGCTGCCGCTATCCCGCTGTTTGGATGGCTAGTCCGTGGGAGGACAGACAGGCAGATGGATGCATAAGTGGATGACGAACGAAAGGGCAGGCAGTAGAATGAGCAGACCCAGAACTGAGGGCTACATAGAAGGGAGGGGTTTGGGGAACGAAGGCTCAAATAAGCCCTGTGTCTGCTTGAGTGTATCTGAAACCCCATGTCCCCTCCCAAACATGCTTCCCAAATGGTCCATGTAGACCAAGAGGGTACTGCTGAGCTCTCTGAGTCCATGCTTGATGGCCTCTAGGTCCCCAGGCCTATCTCAGCTGAGACCTGGATGTAAGGCAGAACTCGACTGCTGGCTCCCGGCCTCATACGCAGCGTGACAGGCAGGCTCTGCTCCTGAACACGGCACCTTCACTGCCCCACTTTCCTAGAACATTACCAAGGGTCTATGTGGGGCTCCCTGTTGTGGTCCCATCCTCACCTCTTTCCACGGGGGCGTGGCTTACAGCGATCAGGGCAGTGACGTGGGAGGATGAGATAGGCTGCAAGCCAGGTGAGGCCACCAAGAGCCATGCCCCTTAAGTAGGCAGGAAAGATAGACAGGGAGGGGCAGGAAACAGAGGATCAGGCCAGCTGTGGCAAGTGGTTTCCATGGCTCTCCTGACTGTCATAATGAAGGCAAGTCTTGCTGCTAAGACTTGTTTGCATTAAAAAAAAAAAAAAAGGTAAAAATCTAAGTTTTCAGTTGGGCGGTGGTGGCACACGCCTTTAAACCCAGAGAAACCCTGTCTCAAAAAAACAAAAACAAAAACAAACAAACAAAATCTAAGTTTTCTTTACCCTATAAGGTGAAACTTTTTGTTTGTTTGTTTTTTTCTTTGTAGCTTTTGGAGCCTGTCCTGGAACTAGCTCTTGTAGACCAGACTGGCTTTGAACTCAGAGATCCGCCTGCTTCTGCCTCCCGAGTGCTGGGATTAAAGGCGTGCACCACCAATGCCCAGTGGAAACTAAAGATTTTTAACTGTTGCCAAAAACAAGTTAAATGTCTTTTTAGAGAACTTGAAGGGACCAGATCCTCCCAGGCAGGGCTAGGAGATGCCCTGTGGAGGGGCAGGTCTGGGCCCTGCTGAAGGAGGCTATGCTGGCCTTTCCCAGGGCCAATGCTTACCTCCCTCTCTGGGAACCACCAACTTGGGCACCCACACTAGGCTGGGTCACAGCTGGAAAGTAGGGGAATCCCTTGGGGAACAACGCTCATTAGGCAAACACAAAACTAATGCATTTGATCTCACTTTAATTAAAAAATAAATAAATACATGCCAGGGGCTTGTATCTAATGAGAAAAGAACAAAATAAAAGAACAAAACAAAAGCAAAACCTAGAGGTCTTGCTTCTGGCAGGAGGGGTCTCCACAAAAAGTCAGAGACCTGGGCTTGGTCCAGCCCCAGTTGGGAGGTCCTACCTAGAGGGGAGCGGACTCTGCTAGGCATCCCTGTGGCAGGTCTCCACAAAGCCCTCCTCTGAGTGGTGTGTGGGTGTCAGAAGACTGAGGGCTTGGCCATCAGCTCTGCTTCCCAACAACATCTACCCTTGCAGATACTGCTGATGCTGGAGCCTGAGCTCAGAGCAGGACACGGGCCTGCAGAAGGCTGGGCATCTGGGAGCAAGAGCAGCAGAGTGGAGGGGACTGAAGTTACCCGGCAGCTGCTACACATAGGCTAGGCCTGGCTGAGCTGTGGTAACGTGTGAGGGACAGGGCTCGTGTGTCTAGGGTGAGCTATAAAGCATGGGCAGAGGCTCCTCCATTGGCCTGGGGACAGCATCTATAAGTGGATCCACTTATTCCAGTTGACATCATGGGGGAAGACACGGCCCAGGCGGATGGTGCAGTCCAGCGTAGGCTCATAGAAGGTGACAGTGCTCTCATGGCAGGAGAGGGCTTCAGCCTCACCGGCCTGGCCCAGGCCCTCCACCACAGGCTTGGAGAAGAGTGAGACAGCTGCTGGCTTCCTCAGCAGGCGCTTCTGGATACAGCCAAGGGACTCTAGGCCCTGCAGATAAAGACATGTGGGGTTACAATAGTACTGACCCGCTTGCCTGGGGGCCTGGCCTTGCTCCATTTATGAAATGCACATAACTTTCCCTAAGTAGAAAGAAGATGGCCAAACATGGCCTCGAGGAGAGGCAGGACTTAGCAGGAAGGCGTAGGCAAGACGGGCAGGAGGAGGGATGGCAGGTATGGGTGTCACAGTGACAAGCACCTCTGGAGGACAGTCAGGTACTCTTCAGTCACCAAAGGCTGCAGTGGATTCCCACCACCTGGCTGGCCCCACATGAAACTCTGCCTGGAATGACTGCTAGGAAGTTCAGGGAATGTCACACTAAATGTCAAGTTCCTAGCTTGCTAGGAAGCTGGGGCCCAGGGCACCCTGGGAATGGGAGCTCCGGCTGGACAGCAGCTGCTTGTGGAAAGTAATGATCACATGGTCCTAGGCTTTCCACGCCACCCCACTTATTTACCTCGGGTTCCCAAGAATCTGTGAGCATGTGACCCCAAGTGTGGGTCTGGAGGACAATGGCAGGGCAGGGGAAGACAGACCAAGTGCAAACGTTTCCAAGGGAGAGGGAGCTTGCTTCAGGGGTGGGCTGCAGCAGGCCAAGGGAGAAGGGGGTCAAAAGCCAGGCAGGGCCTCAGCAACAGTAGCAGACCCCTCTGCTAATGGAAGAAGGCACTGAAGGTAAGCTGAGGCGGTGACACCTGAGGTGCAGTCTCTCATGGACTCACCCTGCCCTGTGTGCCTCCCACCCAGCTGAGCTCAGACGCCAAGCCCTACCCGGAGCAGCTCGAGCACGGCAACAGGCTGCAGGACCCCCTGGTAGTACTGCAGCAGGCAGCTCTCGGGAACACCAGGCCTGGACATGATGTGGTACAGCACGGCCTCCATCATTCCTTTGCACACCGGCATATTCAGGCGCCCGTCCACGCCACGCCATGGGCGGCCAATGAAACACACTTTTTCACAGCCGCTGCAAGATGAACATTTGATGTCAGAGAGGGAGGGGACATGCTGGTCATAAACAGGCTACTTTGGCTCAGTGAGGCCCAGGACTTGGCTACTATCTAGGCAACTACTCTTCAGTCTGTTTGCTCATCTCTGGCTGAGGTCAACTGTAGCCTAGACCAGAGGCTCCCCCTGCTGGCTCCCTCACAGATTTCTACCTCTGGCACAAAGCTGCCACTAACCCAGGACTTTGGTAGCTCTAGTGGTCATGGCTGAACCCTGGAGGAGCAGATTCAGAGTACAAAGCCTTGGTGGGCTAAGGCCACATACACATGGAGGAAGGAACTTCTAGAGGGTCTCTGTGGGCCCTGACTAGGAAGGGCCACTGAAGGTGCCTCTTCAAGGCAGAAGAGTGCAACCCTTCGAAAGCCTTCTCTCAGCTACAGGACTGAGGGGCTGAGTTCCTGTTAATGTGGTCACAGGCTGATGGTGAAGGCCCTCTCCTCATCTAAGATGGGTGTGAGGGTACAGTGGGCTATGGGAGTAGGCCCAGGAGAGGACTGCTCAAAGCCCTTGCCTGGGAACCTCTCTTCAGGGCAAACTACCCAGGCTTGCACCCTATGAAGGAGCCTCATACAGTGACTGACATGGAGTCACACTTTCTCCATGCTCTGCCCCTCCCTGCCAAAGACCCCCATTACCTTTCCCATGCTGCCTGGGCCATGTTGCTCTCTGTAAGTCCTGTAAGAGAGGAAAATGTGCAGGCTCTTAGAAGGCAGAGTGGGAGGTCATGTCCCTTGTCCCTCATTCAACAGACACCAAGGTGAATAAGCAGTGACCAGAAAAATAGTCTTCTACTCATTGTATGGTACTCTAGTGGCTGAGGCCAGTACACCAGAGGCATAGCCAGTACATGGCAGGTGCAGAGCTGATCCTGGCACGGTGAAGTCAGCAAGGCCCTCATTTCCCAGCCAAGAGCCTTGGTCCCAGGGCAGAGTGTGTAAAGCTGTCAGAAACAGTTTGTAGAAGCAGCGGTAGATCTCACAGGGAAGTGCCCTGCTACTGGCCAAGGCTCAGAGGCTTCTAGGAATAAGGGTGCTCCGTCCAGAGAACCTCTCCCTGGTCACCACTGCAAGCCTGGGGCTCCCCTCCTGCTAGGTTGTCCAGGTGGAGCCCTGTAGGCAGAGCCACTGAGGGCAGGGCAGGTTCCCAGTCTGAGATGGACAGAACATAGGGACAAATGTTAGGGTTAGTACCTCGGGGGTCTTCAGAGCCTTCTGGAAGCGGGAACTCACAGCCCAGCTCTAGGCCCGAGACACCAACACTCTCTTGGTTCTCCTGACTGGGGATCCCTGCACCTGCATCTTCAGGAGCTGCAAACAGAGCCGAGGCTTGGGCCTCTAACTGCTCTTCTCCCCCAGGCCTAGGGCTGGCAGCCACTCGGTCATCCTGGAGTGTGGACCTCTTGGCAGGGAGCCCTATGGTCTCCTTGGCATCAGTCTCATGGCTCTCAACAGAGCTGTGGGCACGCTTTCTGGTGCCGTGGGAGCTGTCTGAAGGCACTGCTGTCCCCTCAGAGGTTTGATCTTCACCAGTAGATCCCTCAGGGAGTTTTGCTTGGGAATCATTCCCTGAGGCCTTGATGTCTCCTTCTGTGTCTCTCAGACGCATTGAATGCAGGAGCCAGGGATGGGCAGAGGCCATGGCCACCAAGCGCACAGTGTTGCCTCCAACTTCCATCACTTGTTGCTGTTCCAAGAGGTCCTAGAAAAAGAGACCAAGGTCTGTCTGGGAAGAAGGCATGGCTTTCACTAGGTAGGTGATGTGCGGATGGCACTCCCAGCTAGTGTCAAGTATTCTCAGCAAGCATAAGCCCAGGTCTAAAGAAAACAAGCCTGGCATCCTGCCCTGGAGCTGTAAGCCGCATGGACCTTTGCGGGCTCTTTCTGTACCTACTGTGTTACTTCATGACACGGCCCGATGCCTGAAACCACAGAAGTGCTGCACCTCTGACTCTCCTGCCTTGTGCGTCCTTCTGTGGTCCTGACAGTCCAGCTCTACAAAGGCGGCCACTGCTTCAATACAATAACAAGACTCTCCTTGTGCTGAGGTCACACCTGCCCCTACTGTCAACTTCTGTGCAGAAAGTGGCCAGGAATCACTATCACTCCTTTTTCCTATAAACCCCTCAAGCTCATTGACAGCCAGAGTCCAGGCCTTGCACCTTGGCTATCTGACCTTGCCAGGGTGCTGAGGCCAGTAGAAAGCACCTGGCCTGCAAACCTCTCTTGGTCAGTGGGCTCTTTCTCCACAGCCTGAGAACATCTGAGGTCTCTCAGTTAATTTCCAGGATTACAATAAGTAAGGGTAAGAATACTTTAAGCCATGCAAATGGTATTTCCTAGGAGGGACAGCTGCTACAGGGCTCAGCCAGGGCCTGTAATGGAGTGTAGGGGACATGTTCTGACTTTTCAATTAAAGGGGAGGAAACCCCACCACCACGGGCACACACCACTTCTGCTCTGCAACTGTCTGCCCCTGAGCTGAGCCTACCTGGACATAGTCGGAGAACGTCCTGGTCCGCTCGCCCACTATCTTCTCCAAGGCAGAGAACTGTCTGCTTAGCTTCTCCCTGTCAACCCCGAAGCAGTCGGCAGCTGCGACAGCTTGCAGGATCTCCAGGGAAGCAGCTACATCCTCAGGGCTGTAGCCAGATTGGGCCATCTGGTGGGCAAACTCTTCTGGGGAGGAGGTGTGCAGCTGTGGATCCACCAGGCTGGTGAAGGAGGCAGGGAGGCAGGAAGGCCCTGCCTGGAGCTCTTCCAGCGGTGTGCCTGTGAACCCTGAGACCATGACGAAGAGTTAAAAAAATCAGCAAACAGAAGCCCTTCTTGGAACCAACACATGGTTACTGAGGCAAGATCTGCTCTAGCACCCGTTCACTGCTCCTCAAGAAGTCATCGGGTCACCTTCAGGGGACATACTGGGCAATAGCAGTCAAGACTCTTGGTATGTGACTATGGGCCGGGCTGCAGTCCCACTGCAGGTGTACTGAGGCACCTCTTAACCTAACCTTAACCTTGAGTTAACCTGGCCCTGGGCCACTTCCATGCAGACAGGTTCTTCACTCTATCCAGGAAAGCCTGCCTGCTTGCTTTCTTCTCTTTCTTTCTTCTTTCTTTCTTTCTTTCTTTCTTTCTTTCTTTCTTTCTTTCTTTCTTTCTTTCCTTCTCTCTCTCTCTCTCTCTCTCTCTCTCTCTCTCTCTCTCTCTTTCTGTCTCTCCTTCCCTCCCTTTCCTTTCCTTCTCTCTCTCTCCCACTTCCTTTCCCCTCCCTCTCTCTTTCTTATGTATACAACAAAGATGACACCATTATATCTATCTCATTATAGATGGTCGTGAGCCACCATGTGGGTGCTGGGAATTGAACTCCAGATCTCTGGAAGAGCAGCCAGTGTTCTTAACCTCTGAACTATCTCTGCAGGATCCCAGGAGAGTTTCTTTTTTCTTGGTTTTTCAAGACAGGGTTTCTCTGTAGCTTTGGAGCCTGTCCTGGAACTAGCTCTTATAGGTCAGGCTGGCCTCGAACTCACAGAGATCCTCCTGCCTCTGCCTCCCAAGTGCTGGGATTAAAGGCGTGCGCCACCACTCCCACCTCCAGGAGTGTTTTTTTTTTAAAGATTTATTTATTTATTTTTACAGTGTTCTGTCTGCATGTGTGCCTGCATGCCAGAAGAGGGCACCAGATTTCATTACAGATGGCTGTGAGCCACCATGTGGTTGCTGGGAATTGAACTCAGGACCTCTGGAAGAACAATCAGTGTTCTTAACCTCTGAGCCATCTCTCCAGCCCCAGGAGAGTTTTTTTAGCTGAGACATCGACCTATAGGTTGGCACTGTATTTTTGCCTGCTTCAAACTTCAGACAAAACAGAGTTCTGACTGGATAAAAAGGGACAGCAACAGCAAACACAATCCACCTTGACCACACAAAGGTCAGCTGACTGCAAGGGCAGGGCCTTTCCACTCCCATTCTGTGCCAGCACAGACAAAGGTGTAAGCTATTTAGCGCTCCCTGAGTGATGAGTGATCCTGTCTGACCTCCCTAGAGCTCCTCTGCCATGAAGGAGGTAGGTGGTGGCAATGGAGCTGATGTCCCATCTGTCACAGCAAAGAGATAATGTGATTCAACAGTGTCATCATAAACTATGGGACTCAAGGTTCTGGAGGTGTCACATAGGCGATCAGAGTCATAAAGCATGGATAGGCCCAATGACGTGACAGCTATTGACAGCAATGTTCCTCTTCATGTCTCCAGGGCTGGGTGTCTGGCCAGCAGCCTCAGGGTTTCCCCATACCCGAACTGTGGCAGGATACTCACCTGTGGGTCCAAGATGGGTGGATGCAGGGGTGCTACGCAGCCGGAACTTCACCTGACAGGAATTGACCACAATGCTGTCATTGGGGTTCAGGTTGCGCGTACTAACCACTCCAGGCATTGTGTAGTAACCCCTCATCAGCAGGTACTTGGTGTGTGAGGCCTGATGGGCTTTTACTTCCACACCCTGGCGCTTAGCCCCTGAACCTTCATCCAGGTCTTCCTCCTCCTCGTCATCATCCAAGCCTCCATCTTTCCCCAAGCTGCAGAAGAGAAGACAACTAGGTAGCTGGACTTGGACTAAGTCTACCTGGCACACAGCCATCTTTGCTTTCACTGAGTGGTTACAGTTAGCTGTCACAGACACCATTCACTCCAGGTGCCCCGATCCCCCACCATTTGTCTCTACTTGAGACAAATTTTTCTGTCACCACCCAAAGCCTCTTCTTCCCCATGAATTCCCAGCTCAGCCCTGCCACAGTAAGGCACCTTGGCTCACGCCTCTTTCCTTGCAGCACTTCATCCAATCCCCTAGAAGGAATCAATAGGTAACACTGGATACTGCCCTGCCAAGCCTAGTCACAAGATCCCGGAACATCAGACCCCTCTACAAAGGTTCTGCACACCCACTAGATGCAAAAGTGAGCATGTTTGCTGAATGAAAAAGGTCAGTGAAGTGTCTGCCATGCAAGCATGGGGACCTGAGCATCCACATAAAAGCTGGGGTGTAGCATGTCTGAAATCTAGGTCCTGGGGAGGCAGATCCCTAAAGCTCACTGGTCAACCAGTCTAATTAAATTGACAGGAATTTTGAGACTGTTAAAAATGAGAAGAGTGGGAAAGGTACTCAATTCATTCTCTGGCTTCTGCACCTGCAATCACATGCGCACACTCCCAAGAGAACACGTACATATACAACGTGCACATTCCCACAAGAACATGCCCATAGAACACACGCTCAGACCAAATAACCCTGCCAGTACCAAAACAATGAGAATAAATGACCACTCCTAATGAACACCCCAAGAATCTGCATGTCCCCAAACTGTGACCAGAGTCACACACATGGCTCTGCTCTGGGCTCTGACCTCTTCATGACCTCACTCTCCACCATGGAGCTGTCCACCACCACTATCTGCTCCGGGATTCTGACATCAACAGAGAGGAGGCCCAGGGAGAAGAGGGCCAGGGCTGTCACACAGTAACCTCCAGGGCTATCCAAAGAAAAGGCCACCAGGTCACTTGGAGGGTCATTGCTATCCAGGTCCTTGAAGGAAAAATGATCGGGCTGGTCCAGCATGTTGGCGGCCCGGAGTCTGTCGTAGAACTGGAAGGACTCGGTGCAGACGGTGGTGGGAAATCGCCACGTGAAAAGCCTGCAGGCAAGGCAGAAAGGAAAGGCCACTGAAGAGTGCTGGAAAGGCTGTGCTGGGCCACCTGTGGAAGTCACAACACTCAGAACAGTCTGCACTCTTGTGCCCGGAAGCACTCTTACCCACTGTGATGGGAAGGAGTGCGGCAGCCCAATGCCAATGGAGTCTAGGCATTTCATCCCTACTCACCTTGTTCATTCCAGGTGGGGCCAGTTCATCTAAGCCAAGACCCTGCAACACCTCACGCCAACAGCTGCTGACCCAAGGAGGAGGAACCTCCTTTTTTGACAGCTGATAGGACATACACGTGTCCAATCTCACTGTCTGCAGATGTAAGAGGCCAACTCTCCAACAAAAGCCCAGGGAACAGGGACCCACTTGCCAACCACACCCAGAAGCAAAGGAGTCCAGTTCATCAGGGCGAGGAGCTAGGAAGGAGGAAGCCAAAAGGACTAGTGGTGGAGCCATCTAATGTCCAAATGTGGCCCCCACTGTCTTGAGGCTGGCATGACATGCCTGAATGAGGGCTTCCCCACCTGCAATGAGAGGCTAGTGGTGCAGCGGTTCTGAGGGCACCCCGCCCAGCCCTGAAGGGTGCAGGTGATGCAAAAGGCCCTGAGTTGTATGGGGGTGGGATAAGGGTAGCCCACTAGGCTGGTGCTTTGCTACCTGGATTGCTTACAAAACTTGAAACTAACTTTCCTTCACTTGTTTCATGGCAACACTCCTGCATGGGAGACAGGCAGAAAGAGAACCCTTTCCCGGACCAAGCTCTCTGCTCCTGAGGACACTCACTTGTAGTACGACTGGGAAAGCTGGTAGGACATGGGCACAAAGGGCACAGCACGGTTCTTCTTGGGACCCTGGGAATGGCTGACACGGCGCCGGTTGACCAGGCTCCTCTTTTGGCACTCCATGAAGGCCCGCACCAGTACAGGTTCCCGGAACTCCCGGTAGAGACGGAAGATCTGTAATAGCACATGGCAGGGTGAGGTGCTTGGCCAGAAGGGGAGCTAACCATGGCAGCATAGACACTGCAAGGGGCCACTCACAGGAAGGCTGGCTCAGCTGACCAGCCTGGATGTCCCAAGAGGCTCTAAGGCTCTTGGATAGTACTGACTCTGGGATTTCCTGGTGACAGCGCACACTAACAGTTAAGTGACACTCCAAAGCCTTGCTGTGAGGCCTAAGTGAAACCAAGAGAGGAAAAGTGACCTCACTGCTGACGGGCCAGGTGTTCACTGGGGAGCGGGTCACAAGGAGTGGTCTTCTAGAAGAAGCCATCCGAGGGTCACACACCCTGATTTTTCTAGGCAATCTGGCAGGTCTGCGAGAGCAAACTTAGACCCCAGTGGGGAAACTGCATGGGGCAGAGAGCATGAGGTTGCAATGTTTTTCACCTTTCCTTCCTACAGAACTGGAGTAGAAGCTGCGGCCAGTACTGGGGCTTGGCTGTCTATGATTTCTGCTCTTGAGAACCTGCTGGGTACATCTTCAATATACCTGCTGCGATGTGCTGGACCACAATGACCAAGCCTGTGGGGTTTACCTGAGAGCCTAGACTGCCACAGGAAAGTATCCTTGTAGCTGTCTAGTATGCTTGCAGTATCTATCCATTCCTTCTGTCTTCTGAGAATAGGTTGCTGGGGAGCCTCTGTCATCACCGATGGTCCAAGTCCTCAGTGCTAGCTCCTGGGAGCCACAGAAGCACCTTGCCTGCTCTGGGGGCTGGGTGGTCAGGTGTCTTTCTAAGTGTTTGGGGTACAAAGCCAGTCTTAGACACCTTCCACCTGAGCCTAGAAGTCCCTGGAGGTAGACGCAGAAGTGGAAGAGCAGCTGGGGCTGAGGAGGCAAACAAGATGCTGAAGGCTCCTAGGCCTGGGCTCCCTGCTGAGCGTGAGCGGGATCTCTGCTTTCTTTTTAAGCAAGCATGAGCCCACAAAGAACTGCTAGGGCCGTGGCTGAGGACTTGGGATTTCTGCCTCACTGTACACTCTTGCTGTAGTTTAGGCTTACAGAGGGCTCCATGTCCTCCAGCTGCAGAATGCCTATGAGGCCAAGGGACAGGTGTTACCAATAGCCAGGCTCTCACTTAGAACTGTGCAAAAGGCCAAAGAAAGTAAGTGGTGCCAGGAAACAAGTGTTTGCTGGCACTGCCAAATATGGGGTCCTAAGATTCCTTGTGGGAAGCAACTGTACAGGTGACTTAAAGCTGGAGAGACCTAATGACACTCAGGAAGGCGTGTCTACTACTGCTGCTCAATGTCCAGGGCCAGGGCAGCGCTCTGAGGCAAGGTATTAAAAAGCACCTTCCTCTGCCAGGCACAGTGGTGCATCCCTTTAACACTTGCACTTGAGAGGCAGATCTTTGTGAATTCAAGGCTAATCTACCTACACAGCGAGTTCTGGGCTGGACAGAGCTACATAAGGAGATCATCTCTAAAAATGGGCTGGAGAGATGACTCGTAGGTTCAGAGCATTGGCTACTTTTCCAGAGGACCCAGGTTCAATTCCCTGTACCCAAATACAGCTAATAACTATCTGCAAACCCAATTCCAGGGAACCAGACTCACTCTTGCAGCCTCTGTGAGCAATGCATTCTATGTGGTTCACAGACAGACATGCTGGCAAAACACCCATACACAAAAATAAAAATAAGTAAATCTTAAAAAATAAACAAGAAACAACAAAAAAATAAAACTAAACATCTTCCCTCAGCAGTCCTACCTTTTCCAGTCCTATGGCACAGGCCTTATGAGGTGATGTCTGCAGCCCCAGCAGGACATGCACCAGCACAAAGTGGGGCTGTGATGGCTAGTGCCATCAACTTTACAGAATCTCCTGCTATACCCCCGGGCATGCCCATGAGGGATCATATTGATTACACTGAGATAGGAAGACTGCCCACTATGGGTGGCACCATTCCATGGCTGCGCTCCATGGTGAAAAGGACCTGAGCGGCAAACTCAGCAAGCACTCATTCCTCTGGCTTTTGACTACAGATGCAATGTGCCTCAAGCTCTTGCTTCCTTGACTTCTCTTGGGTTGCTTATTAGAATACTTTATCATAGCAGTAGAAAAGACTAGACAGTGGCCCAGGGCCTCTGAGTCAGAACCAACGACAGGGAGGTCCAGGTTACTGCGGCCCCACCCCTCAGTAGCCTGGGATTGGCATGCCAAGTGAATGCAGCATGCAGGAAGCCTTAGGTTTGATTACAGCAGCAATAAACACACGAGTCAGAACTCTAACAAGAATTAAAGCATTCAAGGCCCCCGAGACCCCACAGTTAAGAGCAGAGTAAGCTCTGGTTCCCTACAGTCTAAGGCCCTGTTGTGCTGAGACCAGCACCCACCTGGAAGGACTGGCAGGAGTTGGACTGGCTGTTAGAGAGGGACAGTGTGCTCTGGATCAGGTTCTGTAGCACCAGGAAGTGGATGTCCTCCACACTGAAACACAGCAAGTACCGAGGCTGCAGGAGGCTGCTGGCCGACAGCAGCACCCCTGAGAGGGCGAGTGCACACACGAGAAATACTTAGTTAAAGACATTTCAATCCCACAAAAGCGCTCTGAATGCTGAAGTAGTCACACAACTAAAGTAAACGGGAGTTTCTAGGATATACTAATTGTTCAATTCTCACAACAATAAAATTGTTCCCAGTTAGATGTCTGTCTCTAATCCCAGAACTGGGAAGCTGTGATGGGAAAGCTGGCCCACAGAGCAACTTTCAGACCAGGGTGAGAAACAGAGTAAGATACTGTCTCAACAAGTGCTTTCCCTTGGTGGGAAAGATGCAATCTAGTGTGAAACCAGCTTCTAAACCAGCAGGTAAAAGTCAGCTTTTTCTTTCCCTGACTCTAAATGAGAAAAGGGATCATTGTGTACTATTTTACAGAGCTAAAATCCAGATAAATATTGCTTTACAAGACATTTTCTGTTGGGTTGAGTTCACTTAAAAGACCAGGCAAATGACACTTGAGGATAGGGCTTGGCCAACTTCCTCTGTAAAAGTCAGACTCCATGGGCTCTATTAAAACCACTCAGTACAGAAAGGAAACAGTACATACAGCACATCAAATGAACATGGCTTGTGTTCTAAAAAAAAAAAACAAAAAACCAGTCATTCACAAAAGCAGGCTGTGGGTAGCAGGCTGGATTTGGCCCTAGATTCCCCATGGAGGCTAGAGCTGAGAGATGGAGCTTACCTGTTAAGTTCATCCTCCTTCCTGACACGGTCCTTTTCATCTCCAATTGCCAACACTCTGTATCTGCAAAGGAGGCACAAGAGCATGTTGGTGCGACAGGGCGGCCAGCACAGAGCTGGCACTTGCTCATGGTGGTCATTCATTGCTGAAGGGCTGAACACGCTGAACTCAGAACACACAGAAACCACACCAGGTTTCACCCTTCAAACAAGCCCTCTCTTATGACCTGAGGACCGGGAAAGCATGGGAACACATGGATAGGCAGGGACAAGGGGTGTAAAACTGTGGGCTCACTGTGAGCAGAAGACAATCAAAGAGCGGAACTTGGAAAAGTACCCAAAGAAATGAAATGGTGTGTGTGCTGTGTGTGTGCTTATTTATAGGTTGCAAGTGCACATGTGTGTGCAAGTGTATGTGTATGGATGTCAGAGGTTGGCCTTAAGTATCTTCTTCAATTACTCTCTGCATTATTTATTGAGGAAGTGTCTCTCACAGGAGCCTGAAGCTAGCTGGTCAGCTTGCTCAGGCATCCTGTCTCTGCTTCCTGTGCTATGTATGATTATACGATTACAGAAAGGCTGCCATGATCACCTGGCATTTTTGTAGGTGCTGGAGGTCTGTCTGATCTCATGGAAACCAAACAGGAAGGTGCTATGAGGCTGAAGACAGGAAGAAGAGGCAGAGGGGAGAAACTGATGGAAGGTTATGGTGAAGGTAAGGAATGAGTTTTAGCGATTTATTGTACTTACAGATCATAACTAATAACATACCACATATATTATTATGCACCTCATAAATATATATCATTATCATCTGTCAATAGGAAAAATAAGTAAATTGGACATGATAATGCACACCTGTAATACAGTATCTGGGAGGATGAGGTTAGAGAACATGAACACAAGACCAGTCTGGCTACATATAAGACCCTGCCTCAAAAAAACAAACCACCAACAACAAATTGAGGGGTTGGGGGTTTGCTCTGGGGTACAGCATTTGCCTGATATGTATACGGTCCTGAGTTTAACCTTCAGCACTATGAAAATAAGAATAAATAAATCTTAGAAATAAGTGACAATCTTGAAGGCAGAAGAACAGAACATTTCCTGTCTTTTCTGTGAGCTTTAGGCAATATCACGTTACATGACATTCAAGTCAACATAAATTCATTAAACTATTAAAACCCCAGGTTTCATCAAGCCTTTCCTTTGGCTTTTAGAAAACTAAAGTAAAACCTCAATTCTGCAATGGAAAATTTATTGACAGAAAAAGTGCCTTTTCAGAAAATCCCCCTTTCGTCATATGGGCAGACATGGAGGTCTCTCCTATCTTGCCTGGTCCACAGAACACTCCTGGCCAAAGCCAATGTTATTGGCCACATCTGCAACTCACTTTTCCTCTAAGTGTTTAGAGCTCAACTGTTATATCCGTAACTGTCTTCATTTAGGATTACAAGCAGCCTCTTGTTTGAATGCACATGTGTGAGAAGATGAACAACCAGCATGGGCACAGACACTGAGACCCCATCGAGAGTGAGTATAAATCATGCGGGAACTGTAGAGAGGGCTTTACGGCCAAATGAAAACAAAGCCCAGAAAACAGCTACAGCTGGGTGTGGTGACACATGCCCATAATCCTAAGGATCAAGAGGCAGGAGGAATGCCCAGACTTAGAGACTAGCCTGGGCTCACAGCTCTGTCTCACAACACATGAAAAAGGGCAACTGCCACGGAGGTCTGAAAGTGGGTCATGTTCACTGCTGGATGAACCTTACATTATGATTCCAACCGAAACACAGAGTGAAGGGTGTCTCTACGGGAAGGAGGAGTGCGTCTCCATGAGGACGGAGAAGAGGGATCCACATCTGGATGCGACTGTGGAAACAGGCCTGGTTCACATCCCTTCAGATTGTCCAACTCCCCCAACCACTCTCAAACTAGTACGTTCTTCCACACAAGTGTGAGTCAAAAGTGTAAGCTCTGTTATGAGAGCCACTGAGCACAGGCCCTGGACCTGCTCAGAGTTTAAGCTTTGTGACCCTGGCCCGGGGACAGTGGCCAGTGCCTCCCTGGGACTGAAGCTGTGCAGGATGGATGCAGTTGTTCTGACACCTGGTTGTGGCCCTAAGGCAGAGAGCACTGAGTGGACCTGGAGCTGCCACCAGCCCTCTTCCTTTCTTTCATCTTATAGTCTCCTAATAGTAAAAAAAGCAAACTCAGCAAGAAGCATACACAACAAAGTCTGGATTAGTTAGGTGGGCAGCAGGGACTCAGTGGAAAAAGAAACACAGGTGTCAAGTTATCTGACATCAGGTAGTCCTTGGAGGGGCAATGCAAGGCCAAGTATAACCAGGCAGGCACTGTTCAGCTGGCTAACCTCTGCTACACACCTGCACAGTGCAAGGCTCTGCCCACTCAGGACAAGGCACCTACTTGGCAAAGAGTTCCTGCAGTGTGTCAGGGATCTCAAGATTAGGGTTCCTCAGGCCAGAGCTGAACTTTTCTTTCAGTTTCTCCACAAATTCTTTAAACTCTTTGGCACAAACCTGTAACACAAGAGCTTAGATGCCACACCTTCCCACGGGAGAGAGGCTGGGAGAGAGGCTGTGCAAACACCAAGGGCACTGTGAGTGAACTCCGCTGGCAGCCACACCCCCAAAACACCATACTTGCTGTCTTTTCCATCCCTACCCTGAGTCTACTTGCCACTTGAGTGGTGAACACTCACTGCCATGCCAGGAATCTGGAGTCCAAGTGACACTGACAGCTCTCATACCTGTAGCTCACCTTCCCCAGACTGAGGAGAGATGCAAACATGACCTACAATGTTCCCGCCATGCATATGGACATGGACACGCTAGCTGCCAGACACACGTTGTTCTATTACCTCCTTCCTCTCAGCTTGGTTTCCCCTGGCTGCCCATGTAAGCTGGCTTATCCAGATTCTCCAGCACCCCCTGCCCACCTGTGGCCCGCTGCCTCATGCAGAACACTCTCATAGAGAAGTCTCCACTTAGCCAGGGCAGAAGTACCTGGGCCCGCACAGCTAGCTCCTTCCCATCAGTCACCATCTGGCCCCTGACCGTAAACCCATGGAGCAGCTTTCAAAAGCCTCTGCCTGCAATTTCTAAAGAGTTGCTTTGTTTTCTTAACAGGCCCCAAGCTCAACCTCATTTGAAAGTACCAAGTATTACACGTGGTCATCTTTAAAATGGATGCCTGGAGTCAGGGCCAGTGAGTCCTAAGCACTGACAAGCTGACTCCATGTTTGCAGGGTCCTGAGGGCTAGACAGTTCCTCAATGCCTATCTTCAGAATGCTCTGGGCCCTGCCACTGCATGGGACCTACCTTTGGGTCTTCGTAGTTACCCTTTCGACTCATGAAATCTCCAACGAGTGCCTTGTCCTGGTACACCTCCGCCAAGCAGACCCTGGGGGAGGGAAGATCCAGTGCTGTTCAAGTTGTACCCTCCTCCGATTCTGAACGCTGAGGGTATTGGCTTCAGCTCTCTGAGAGCTGTGATCTACCTAAGCTTTGGGGATGAGTACCCTGTAGTGAGCTGCACCCAATTCAAGTCAGGCTGGTCAGGCTCACATTTTCTATCCTGGCTTCTATCTTCCATGGGGAGACTGAGGACAAAGACATTCTCCTTCAGCCCTACCCCATCACAGGGATTTGGACAGGACCAATAGGACCAAGAGAAGTGTGTGTGTGTGTGTGTGTGTGTGTGTGTGTGTGTGAATTTGAAACTATTGTATACCACCATTTACTATCAGATTTCCTGGCCACAGCACTGCTGTCCACCTGCCAACCTGCCCATGCCTGTGAGGGTAGTGGAACCTGGCTTGCCCAAAGGGAAGCAAAGGAGAAACAAGCACGCCAGAGAATCCCGATCAGTTAGAGCCTGCCATCTCTGCTGTTAGGGGAAGGAAAGGGCTGGGCTGAGATAGCTGTCCTTGACTTTTCATCATCTCTAGTACACAGGCCAGGAGATCTAGTACATAAGAGGACAGAACCCCAGGCCTGCTGCCTCTGAACCCCCCTTTTCCCTTTGTTCCAGGGTATGCTTGGAGCAGGGAGCCCAAGCCTCAGATCTTATTTCTTGACAATTCTCTACCACTTTGACACACCTCCTCTTCTGAGAAGTCAGGACTAGGAGGGCATTTTTCCTTCAGAGAATTCTTTCAGGTAGGAAATAAGAACATTCTACAAATAAGCAAAAGTGGCTTTATACAAGAAAGGCCCATGGTCTGGCTGACTGCATGTCACTATGTGCCCTGGCTGCTCTAAAATTGGGAGAGTATAGGACTTCTTCTATATCTGCCTTCCACCCTACCCAACTCTTGCACCAGTGGCATGTTGTGGGTACCTCCTAGCTTCACAGAATCCCTCTGGCCTTCTCTCCTTGGTTCCCTATAGAGAAAGCTGTGGAAGGGCCTGAAGGCCTGCAAGAAGACGGTAGATCAGCCCTGCAGTCAAGAAGATGCTTTGTAATTCCTAGGTACCTGCTGTCCCCACAAGGCCTGTGCTCCACCTGGAAGGACTTGGGGATAGCAGTTCTGCCAAGGGGATACAGTGTTCTTTATTCAGTGATCCTGGGTCTGTCTTGCTTTTCCCAAGAGTGAGCTCCATGAAGAGTTGTTAGGACTGCTCTGATCACAGCAATCCTGTCCTCCATGCATGGGATACCAGGACAGACACACAGTGAGTCTCACTCTGCACCTGCTCCCAGAGCCACACTTGGCTCTGGAAAGTCATGTCTGTTTCACCTGCAGATTCCAACACCTGGACAGTCCTATACTCATTGTACTCCACCTGAATTCCACACCTATGTCTGAACAAGATGGGGAAAGGGGAAAGAAGAAACTAGAAGAGCTGGAATAAGGGCTGGTATGATCCAGCTGCAAATGTGGCTTACTTGTAGTTCATAAAGGCCTGGGGATTTTTGACTATGTAGCGGGCTCTTCGTCCAACCGAGTGAGATGTCTTATCCAAAGATTCTTCAAAGGTAGCATGCAAAATGTCCCGCACAACCTGCCAGGTGACAAATGGTCCTTTCACCTAGTCCAAACACAGAGTGTGACAGTTAGTATCTGCAGAACCCATATACAGGACAGTTAACAAAATGAAATGGGAATGAATATGCCTTGGGAGCCTGTTTCCCCAGGGAGGCTCAGAGAGCTCACCTCAGTGCTCACCAACATTGTACCAAGTGAGGTCTGGGGACAGAAAAACAGGACAAATCCTCAATGTTGTATGGGACTGTGCTTTCTGGCATGCTCTGTAAGGAGGCCCCGTATCAGGTAAGGTTAAGAGGATGCCAAATGTGCTTCGGTAGAGTTTTGTTACTTTCTTTTGGTATTGAAATAGGGTCCTCTCTGTGTAATTAGGGCTGGCCCGGAACCCTGACTCCTAGGAAAAAGGCATGCGTCACCCCCTGCTGGGTAAGTAGCGCATTGAAGACCGATACATTCTGTGCTCTCAGAGTCATTCTGTATCGTTTGCCTTATATCACATCATCTTCCGACACACACGCACACACAGCAGAAGAAACAGAATGAACTAAGACAGTAGAACATGTCAGAAAATAACACACGGGAAAGAGCTAAAGACAGAGATTTTCCTAACAACACTAACAAGATGCCACGAAGTTCTAGAGAGGAGTGGGGGCTATGTGATGGGGAGGGGAGGCATGTGAGAGGCAGCGGAAAAAGTTCAGATGGTAATGGGTACCTCTCCATCTTCCTTAGGGAAAAACAGGAATGGAGTTTAGGAGAGGGTGGGGTGCAAGAATTAGAGACAAATGGATCAGAACAGGGATGGAAAAAGCAATGCAGGCCCTAACTGGTTTCTTCTGGTTGTCATGCTGGTGACCAGGAGACAGATCAGTCCTTAAGAACTGCTCTATTTGTTGGCATCACTGCCTGCAGTGGCCTTGACCCACCTGACACGGAGCTCATGTCCTGCTGGCCTCTAAAAAGGGGCATGGTTTAAAAGCTCATGCTTTGTTACATACTATGCTGGCAGGAAGCACAGAGCCAGAGGTCACGAGGTGCTATGGGAACGTGAAACACAGGAGCTCTGGCTAGGCTGTAGAACCTGTCACCACTAGAAGCAAGGAAGGGTTTGCTGACTGAAAAGAACGCAGGGGAGAAACAGTAAGTGTGGAAGACAAACGTGTAGGGCTATGGCCAGGAAATGCCAAGTGGCTTTTGCCTTAGGGCACAGCTACTCTTGGACCAGGGGTACCAAGACTACAGAGCCAAGGTGGAAATCAGGGGTTCATGGTACAAAATGCACCAAGCCACTACAGGCAGACAACACAGAAGGAATGGGCAGCAGACAAGAGCAAAATGGCTTGATCTGCTCTACTGTAGCCAGACAGAAGTGAACATGCATCTGACTGAAGGCTGGGAGAATGTACAGGCTGGTTGTACAAGTACAAAGGATTCTGGGAAATGCTCTTCTGGGAAGCCACTGGGAGTGGATAGTAAGTCCACAGCCATTGCTCTCACAGCATAGCAAAGGGCTGCTCCTGGGGGCTGGGGTGATGGTAGGTACCTTGGTATTGAGGACATTGCTGGCAATTCGGCAGAGCATTAGTAACCCATCCTCCTGCATGGACCAGGAGACACGCAGCCGAGTCATCATCCGGAGGGCATTCTGGTCAGCTTCATCTTGGTAGCGCAGCTTTTTGCTTTTGGCTTCCGGGTGCTCTCCTAGAACCACAAGGGGAGAGGAGAGGGACCTTGAGTCAGCTTTTCTAGAGTGGAATGGCCCCAACCACACTGGTAAGAAATGACTAAGGCTACCAGCTACTAGACAATGCCCAATTCCAAACAAGCAAACCATGAAGAGCAGTTCTTTAATGCATTTCTCTTGGGCTGAATGTCATGGATTCAGGTTAGGCAGAGAAATGACAGTGGCCCGTGATCATGGAGTCCACTGGTCTTACCATCCCGAAGCAGCAAGACTGATAGAAAGATGAAGTGACCTTTTGAAGACACAGTTACAGAATCAATTAGGTGGCAGCAGCCTAGAGGGTTGGGGCAGGTTTTTCAGAAGTTTTGAACTAGTGTCCAATATATGGTACAGTTTCTCCCATAGCCAGGATCTATGGGTCCAGGAATCAAGGAGTGGAAAGAGATAGCTCCACTCACTATCACACTAGTGACCTACTAGGAAAATATTAGTTCCTGTTCCTGGGACCTTAAGTTCTGTCCCAGAGTGGGGACCAAAGGGGAGTGCTCCTGCCAGGAGCCAGAACAAACCTGCCACTGAATGAGAGGCTCATACTTTCCCCCCTTGCCACTCTGGGCTTCTGATGCCAACAAGCTAAGAAAGGAATAACAGTGTTGGGAAGATGATCGATCCGTATTACCAAGGGGAAATTGAATTGCCTCTTCACAATGGAGGTAAAAAAGATTATGTCTGGAGTGCAGTGGCTCTCAACCTGTGGGTCCCCTTTGGCAAATTCCTATCTCCCAAAATATTTGTATTACAATTCAAAAGAGTAGCAAAATTACAGTTAAATGAAGTAACAATGAAAATAACTTTATGGGGTTATCCCAACATGAGGAACTGAGGTCACACTAGGAAGGCTGAGAACCCCTGCTTTAAGGCATCCATCTCTTGGTGCTACCATGTTCTGTGATTAAAGTTAATGGGAACTACAGCCTAACTCAGGCAGGATGACAAAGGACACAGGCCCTTCAGGAATGAAGCTATGGGTCACTTCTCCAAGGAAAGAACTAAGACCTGATGAGATGCTTGCTAAAGGTGGAGGAAATACAGAATTGGTAGAAGAAAGCTGCTCCCTCCGCCTGCTTGCTTTCATTTACCAAGTCCATTCCATCCTGGCATTAGAGCCTACTTCTTTGGAATTCCAGCGTATACTGAAGATGAGCTGAGACATCCAGCCTCATGGACTAAACAACAACTGGATTCATTGGGAGATGGCCGTTGTTGGACTGGCTGGACCACCCCCTGTAGACCATCATAATAAATCCCCTTTGTGTATTCACTCTGTACGTCTCTGCTCCTCATCATCTACCAATCTATGACTGTTTCCACTGGGTTGTCAAGTCCTCTGAAGGCACCTTATAGAGATGTTTCCAGAACAAACATGTTCAGAGGATAAGTGAGGCAACCAACAGCTGTCTCCAAACCCTCAAATATCTGTGAGTCTGTGACCTCAGAGTGCACGCAGATTTACACACTACAGGAAAGCCTATGTTCTAGGGCTGTCTTGAAGACCAAAAAACAGTAGGAAGCATGTCCTGGGGTCAGGAGGTAAAGATGGCTCAGCAGATAAAGTGGTTTGCCATCAGGTCAACCTGTATTCTAGAACCCTAGAACCCACGTAGTAGAAGGAGAGGACTCTGGCAAGTTGTCCTCTTGACGCCCACACATTCACTGTGGCTTGCGTGTGTACACATGCACACATACAGAAACACATGCGTGTACACATGTACATATACATAGGTCAATGCAAAAAAATTAAAAGACTACCACCACCACCACCTCCTGCAAAGTCCACCTTGAGGTTAACTTTGACTGCCACTCAGTGGAGAAGCCCCTGCAAGTGAAAGCAAAGTGTGCCTTTGGGTGTATCCCACAGGCTGAGACCATGATGGAATATCAGAAAGAAGGAGCTGCTAACACAGGCAGCATAGCATCTCTGCCTCCTGTCTGCCAGAAAGGGAGCCACTCCCTACCAACCCTCCCACCCCCCACCCCCACCGCCATGAAGCTCTGTCTCATCAGCCTAGAAACAGACCATGGCACGAACCTCTCAAACTCTGAGTCAAATAGATCCTTCCTGAAGTGGTTGGTACGGGTGCTGCCCGTGACAACAAAAACACAGCAGCACAAAGTGCCTGCTATACAACAGCTGGCAGCACCATCATCTATTCCCTCTGTGGAGCGCTGGGTTACGGTCTACACACACACATCAAGCCACTGCATTTTCCTTCTGAGGAATACTGGTCTATATACTCGTCTTTCATGTATCCGAAACAGGCTAAGTTGAGGGCTATGTCAAGCGATGGGATGTTTATTATGAATGCCAGCAACACAAACCAATAAAGTAGGTTCTTGCTTAAGCACTTTTCTTTGAAGAATCTGCAGCCATGGTTGGTGTTAAAGCAAATGGCCTACTTAGGAAACAGTCCTCAGCGCTCACTTCCACTAGAAATACAGATGAGGAACGAGTCTAGAAAGTGCCAGGGAGGGATGTGCTGGTTCCAAAGGAACAGTGCAGGTTTAAGCGATTTCCCAGCTTCCTCCTAGTTACATTTCAACAGGACTAAGCTTGGCCAGATGAGCAGAGGCAGACACTCAAAGGCAAACAAAGAGAAAAAAGGGACTTCGTTTAGATGACAACAGTCTTGGTATGAAGATTTCCCTGGTGAGATGAAATCAGAAGCTTGCTAAACCAAAAAGCTGCTAAAGAGAAAGGCTGGCAAAGCACACAGCCAGAGAAAACTGGAGAAATGGGTTCATCCTTAGATGGGCTAGAGACACAGCAAGTCAGGATTGCAGACAGGATGAACCCAGACCCTGTGGGAATAACACTGCAATGTGCCGTGGACATACTATAACAAGACTCAGGTCATGAACACCCCCAGGTACCTCCTCTTCTTTTCCGCTTGATCTTTCTGATAGGCTCCTTCTTTAGCCGCTTCCGCTTCTGGTTCTTCCCACCACGCACTTTTCGGTTCCTGCCAGGGGTAGGTTCTCGGTCCACTTCAAACTGCTCCTCCTTGTCAGCACAGAGCTCGGCATCAGCTTTCCCCTCTGACCAGAGCGGCAAACGGCCACTGCCTAGAAATAATTAGAGGACACAACTGCTTGGAAAAGTCCCCTGTGGAGGCCGCACAAGCCAGCAGAATCCACGGTGGTGCTGGCCTGAACTAGCCTCATAGTTGGCATGCTCTAGTGTGGAAGCTCAGCACACACCTCCGGACCCAAGCGGCATTGGGCGCTTAGATAGGAACGTCTGGAGTCTTCCTGTGAGCCCATTCTCAGGGGTGTTGTTCTGAAAGGTAAGCACAGCACTGGGGTGAGCTGAGAACTTCCATGGGTCTCCAATCCATTCAGTTCCTGCATGAGCCCTAGCCCTGAAGGCAACATGCCACCAGATTTTCTGTGCATCTCTAAAAAGGAGCACTCATGCATATGACAGAGTAAGCCAGAAACTAATGGGAAAGCAAACTCTAGGCCAGGCAGACATTCATATGGCGCCTCTTAACACTGGCTTCACAAGCTCTCAGAACTCCTGAGTGGCAAAGGGCCAGAGCTGAGGAGAATAGCGATGATGGCTCCAGGTGCTTGGATGGCGTGTCCCCGGGAGCCTACCTTTCTGGCTTTGTTGATGATATAGCTGGTCCAGACCCAATTGCGCTTCAGGTGTGCATAGAAGCTAGAGTCCAGCCCAGCAGCTCCCAGCCCATCTCCAGGGACTAAGCCTTCATCCACAACTTCTCGGCTCCCCCTGAGACGAGGCAAACAGAAAAAGCCCTTCCTGATAAGTTAAGAGCCGCCACATGGAGTGGGAGAACCATGTGTGACTGTGTGACAATGTTCATTTTTTCAGGACAGTAATGAGCAGGTAGAGAGAAAGAGCTTGGAGTGCTAGGTTGGGAAGTTGTTAAATTTTCAGAAATCAAAAAGTTTGATTTTCATGTGAAATTGGCAGCTTCTAAATTACGGATGGGATTTCAGAAGTTATGTTCAGAAACATGTCTAGGGCCAGATATTGGCCATGGCAACCAAACTTCAGTTGTTAGCCAAGGCCAGGGTCAAAAGGTGGAGGTCATGGCAGGATCAGGCGTCAGGGGGTGGTACGCACGTGGTGTACTCCAGCATGGCACACTTGCGCTCCAGGTTGTGCTTATCCATGGCGCTTTCCTGCTCCTTCCGTAAGCTGCCTTCTGGGTCACTGCCCGGATCAGGGCAGATCTTCTGTGCACAGGGGCAACGCACCACACCTGGACAACCAAAGCAGTGACGTATTTCCTGCCAGGTGCTAACAGCCAGAGGGAGAGTGAAGAATGGATGTTTGGTCTGGGAGGTGTCCCTCCCCTAAGGAGGGAGCCATGGTCTCAGGTGAAGCCCTCCTCACAATGGCATGCAGAGAGAGGTGGGGAGAGAGCAGGGAAAGAAGGCGAAAGACACAGCAGGTTACCTCTGATGGGATCTCTACAGGCACAGTCTGTTAAGGATGGGAGGCAAATGACAACCAGGGGAAGCCTCCTTCCTGACTGGCTGTTATACAGGCACTGGCTTGACAGCATGGCCAGTGAGCGCAGCAAAGGAAGCTCAGGCAGCTTTTCTTGGCTAGAATGATATCTCAGGTACTTTGCTCAGCTTCACTTTGAGACCCTACACATGTATGCTGACAGTTTCGGTTTAAAAGGCAAAGCACTGAGGCTCAGGGAGACTCCACTTGGCCCACTCTTGTCATGCACATATTAAAGGTGCTCACCAACGTGCTTATTAAAAATGCTGTCTCTGAAAGTTAAAGAACGCGGCCATCGTGGTGGTGGACAATAGAACAAGCAGGGCACAAGAGAGGAAATGGTAAAAAACGGGATTTAGGGCAGGGGAGGGGGATAAATGCAAAGGAGGGTGTAATAAAAGTTGTCTGAAAAAGTTATAAGGAATTATCTAAGAACACCTATAATACATGCAAGTCTATACATTTACATATAGTTTAAATGCAATAATCCCTTCTGGGCTGATAATGCTCCTTTCAAGAGCTATAGACTATCTAACAAAAATTCCAACACCAGGTATGGGAAGCTTTCTTTTGAGCTGTTGGCCGTGTTGTCCAAAAAAACTTCTAAAACATTATAGGCTATTGATATTGCCCTTGGTAACCTCTCAGAGGTGGAAGATAAGTCCCTATTGCTAAAGACACCAGGTACTTTGGGTACATGTACATGGCTACATCTGACCCTGAAAGCCTGCCCCGAGGACTAGCTTTCATGGTACCAAGAGACACTATACAAGCTTTCAGCTACGATACTACGAACTCATCAATGACTAGCATGGTATGATAACTCTAAGGGGCAGTACTGGTACACATACTTTGGCAGTAACCAACAGTTCTCTAGTTGGATGTAAGGCCTGCTCAGAAAGAGGGAAACAGTCTTGGTACTGGAAATCTAGCCAACCACCCAGGGCTAGAAGTCATAGACTTTGGAGGAGAACCTACAACCTCTCCTTACTGATATAATCCTGACTACACTCTAGAGAATTATCTGTATACACTCACATAGAAGTACAGTTCTCACCTCTCATCAAGAAGACTCTCTTTTAAAACAAAGATCATTATAACAAACTATAGGCAACCCCAAGCACCGAGCCTCAGGGATCACCGTGGAAGAGGAAATGGAAAGACTAAGAGTCAGGAGAACAGGGAGTTTGTTGCAAGATGAAGCCTCACCAGCATGACTGCCTATAAAAGACCTGAACAAGGATGGCACCAATACCCACACTAATGCGGAAGGGGAGGAGGAAAGCTTAGGAGGCCTCAACTCTTAAAAGAACAATAGGCAACTAAGGAGTGCTGAGAGCAGGAGAAAGCATTTTCCCCAGGGAAGGGCACACCAATTGGCTATCAAATATGAAATGATCAGCCCCAAAACACATACATACAAGTAATATCATATAATTGAGCAGGTTGTACTTATATACTTAGGAATGAATGGCACGTGCACACACACACACACACACGTATTAAACAACAACTAAATAAAACGTAGCCACGAATTTGAGAGAGAGCAAGAGGTGGGGGTACATGATAGAGGTTTGAAGAAAGAAGGGGAAAATGATGTAACTAAAATCTTAAAAAATAAAAATATACTAAAAATAAATAAAATTTAAAAACAAAAAGCAAAACAAATGCCCTCCCTGGGCCCAGGAAACAGCACTCTGACGTGGTGTCCAGGTGACCTGTATGCATGCTGGCATTTGAGACACCCCTACTTCACAGTGTGACAGCGTCCTATGACGTAGTGCTTCTCTACGTTACTAGGGGCAGAATCTCCCCCAAATGTTTGTTGAGACAATGGATGTCTGATTAATGACTGCAATAAGCCTGTGACATCTCTGCTCATCTAAGAGAGACAAAAAATGCAACTGTCAGGCCTGAGAAACTGATGCAAATTACATACTGGTTCATAAAATTTTATATAGGTATAAACTACAGGGGAATTAGAGTGCTTTAAAAATCTACAGTGGTAAGAGCTTCCCTCACTTATGAATCCCAAAGCATCACTGAAACATACTGCAGTAAGATCTGTCTGGACTCCTTAAAGCTCTCGAGAACAACGGTACACTACAGTGTGGGCATTCAGTAACTCCAGCCCCACCTGGGCAAGCCCCATGCTGTTCTTGCCCATGTACGCTGACAGGATGTCCACTCCAGAATGGCACTTTGCAATACTCTGGAGATGTGCTAAGGGCATCATGGAGGGGAAATAGGATGGGGACAAAATGCTGAACAGGCTTTCTGGAAAAGGACACTTAAACATCAACGACCAGCATAGAAGACAGACATTCAGGGATAAGATTGCTGAGCCCAGCACAGTCAACCCACACACTAGTCGCCCACTTGGTCATTAGTATACAGGGCTCCCTTTCTTATCTCCTTTCTTTCATTCCCAACTCTCAGTCCATTCTCCAAATGGCAGTGGGGTGTGCTTCAAATCACAACATGCATAAGCATTCCATAGTTTCCTTCTGCTTTTCAAATGATCCTGCACTTCCTACAGAGCCCACAAGTCTGCTCCCAACCCTCCTTCCACTCTCAGCTGCCATGCTTCTCCATCGCCTCCCTAACACACTCAAGGCCTTGGCTCAGACCACTTTCCTGCCTTGTGTCTTCTCCAGTCCCAGTGGCCTCAGCCTACAGCGCTCAGCTCAGCAGTGGTCTCTTGAGGTGAGCCTCAGTCCTGTTACTATGATCTGCAGTCTACACCTTAACACACTCTGGGTTTCTCTTGAACTCCTCCCTCCCTAGAACACAAGCCCCATGAAAACAGAAGTGATGACCTGGATGACGCTGGACAAATACTGGCTTGTACAGATCACATGCTTGGATGGGGTTGGAGCCCCAGGGACACCTCAGCTTAAGGGAGTGGTTTAAATGACAATGAACTCCATGACCCCTAGACTCTCTTCTAGCTCTGTATCCTTGACCACACCAAAGGGAAAAGAAGCAGGGGCCCAGCAAGCCAGGGTACCTAGTGGGGTGTTGAGGCAGATACACTGCAGATCAAACCAATAGCTTTCCACATCCTGCATGGAGTCCAAGACGTAGAGACGCCTCTCAAAAGGCCGGCTGCTGTGGGCCAGGTTGTAATGTGGATCACAGATGGTGGTGTCCACAATGACTGCATTCTTCTTCAGGAAAACGAAGACCTGCAGAAGACGCCCATCAGGAGAGGAGGCACACAAGCATCAGCACCATGGTGCTTGGGGTTGGGCTGACATTCAGGCCCACCTCACTGGGCTGAAGGCACTACCTGGTCTTTATCCTGGAACTTCTCTGTGGGTCCAAACTGTAGCAACCCCATGTAGCACAGTCGCTGTAGGTTCTCCACCACCGAGAAAACATATCGCCTAGAATAGAGGGCAGCTGGTCCCCCACCACACAGGCCACATAGCTCTGAGGCCAGGAAAGGGGATGAGCTGTTCCTCTTTCTTATCCAGTCCCCTAGGACACTGAGGCCCACAGTCACCTTGGGCCTTGATTTGGAAAGTAGATACAAGGAAACAAACCAAAACACTCTAGTAGCTGTAATTCTTTAGCAGCAAATTTTACTTATTAAAATCAAGTAATAAATATAGCAGCTCATGTCTTTGGTGACTAAACTGCTAAGAATCTTGAGGCTGTGCAGCCTGGCAGGCAACACCTTTCACTTTTCCAAGGTCTGAGCAAGCACTTGGGAGCCTACCTTCTGGGATTTACTCTCACCTCTTATACAGGAGCTGCTGCCGGATGTGCCTGGGGAGGAAGCGGATCAGTGTGTGCTTCTTCAGAGGGTCATTTAGAAAATCCTCCAGGTTGTCCACCTGCAGAGATCACCTGCAGGTTCAGCTCGGCCACAGGGCTCACGAGAAAGCATTTAACACTATGACCTCCCCATGTCTGCTTTGAGTATCTACCCTCCCAGCTCACCCAGCACACAGCAGAGGGCAACAACACACGCCAGGCCTGTAAGGAGGCACACAGCTGCTAAAGCCCTTCCCGGAGGCAAAAGGAGCACACTCTCACCAAGGAAGGATGACTGCTAATCCCCTAAGGTCAGTGATTTTGCCTGAGGAGAAGTTTCTGGAAGTATCCACTCACACACCCACTAAAAGTGTCCAACAACATTTCATCTGCCAAAGCAAGAATTGGAACTTCAATGTCCCCAGGTAGAAAATATACTGCTAAATTGTGTCAGTGGAGAGGACATATGAGTGTAATTGCAATTCAGTTAGGAACACATACATGCACGTACACAGTCACAGGAAGACTAGAAGAAAATACACCAACAAAATGAACAGTGAGTGACTCTGAGTGATAAGGTTTTGGGTAATTTCTATTTGCTCCTGTTTTGACATTTACCAAGCTTCCAAAAAGTGTTTTCCTGTTGCAGCATATCTATTTATCTTCTTACCTAGTAAATGTACACACCTGAAGTACACACTACCCATCCACCCAGCCGATTCTCTTATTAGTTCTAATCTAATCTGTGGGGAATAACAAACATCTGAAATGTCTTCCCTTGACTGACCATCTTGCTGTCCACCCACTCTCCACTCATCCATCACCTGGGAAAGCTCCAAGTACTTTCCCTCCATCATGTGAGTATATACAGGCTTCTAGCCCCGCTACCCCACACATGACCTGGCCCAGAGTCACAAGTACCTTGTAGCTCACTTGAACAATTTGGACAAAGATGGAGAGGGGCAGGCAGAGAAGAATGTCACTGACAAGAGCCCAGCCAAAGCCGAAGTCCCTGTGGATCGGGATGGGAGGGACGTAGCGCATCCACGAGATTTCATCCACGTACACTAGGAAAAGCTAAGAGTCACTCCAAGCAGACGGTATGCTCAGGAAAACACTGTCTCTCCCTGTCTTCCCCCATTACAGGTCTGTGGTCTGCACTTACTTCTGCTCCTCTTACCCCACGCCCAGATGCAGGCCAGTGGCTCTTACCTATCTCTGTGGAGAGTTCCATTTCTGCCTCCCAGGAGCTGCTTTCCGTGTTATCTCTGGCTTCAGAGGTGTCCCAGTCATTTCCAGAGGAGGTCTGGGCCCCTGACCTGCTGGACTCCTGCTTCCCTGTTTTCCTCTCACTGTGGTAAGTAGGCTGCTCCCCAGTGTGGCCAGCAGGATGACCATAGATCAGGTACCACAGGAACAGATGCATCACCCGAAGGCGAGGCATCTTGGGAAGGAACCCTATGGAGCGCCCGAGTCCAGGAACTGTAGGGAGAAAGGTGTGGGCAGTGCTTGAGCAACCCCAGACTGTGTCAGGTCCAGTTCATTCCACAGCTACCATGGGCTACACAGGGGCTAGGTGCCAGGGAGGTGATTTATCTACCACTGTGCAGAACAAAGGTGGCAAAGGTGACTGTGAAGCTGCTCTTTACCTATGACAGGTTTATAATTTTTGAGTGGGGTTATGCCCATTTTCTCGTCCGTCTTTTTCACTCGTCCGCTTTCTGACTTTAAGGATGTGTTCGGGTCAGAGTCTCCTGATCCACTTGGGACCTCTGGCTCTTGGCTTTCCTCTTCTGCCTCCTCTTGGGGTGCTGGAGTCTGTGTAACTTTAACCCTGCAGACCAAATGCAGGGTGCAGAAATACATTGGAAACAAAGAAAAGGCTTATCGGTCAGGCCTGGGGTTTCAGACTCAACTGATCATGGGCCCAGACAGATGATACAAGTAAACAGTGTCTAAAACAGGAAGCGGCAATGTGGAGGAACCTTCAGAGGCTACTTGCCACCAAGAAGGGAAAGAAGTCCAGTGTGTTAGGTCTCAGACACCTGCGACCAGGAACATAGAAAACTAACGGCAAATGGTTCAGATACTGAGACTAACCACCGAGGCTCTACCTCCAGGGTGGCCCTCTGTCCACCAGGAACCCAGCCACCTTGAAACGTGCCTCCTTACTGGTAAGTACTCAGCCTGAGGTTAAAATGAGCGAGACATTGAGAAAACAAGAACAGTGATTTATGCCACGATGAGACTGAGCTTCCTACACAGAAGCATCAGTGAGAAGCGCTCTAACTGGTTACATTTACCAGATGGATAAGCATTAGGGCAGGTGGTGTGGCTCCGAGGGAAAGTGTTGGCCGAGCATATGCAAGGCCCTGGTCCCATCTCCATTCAAAGAAAAGGAAAAAGAACGTAAGTTAGAATAAAGAATACTAGAAGTTCAGAATTGGATCGCCATGTAGACTAGGTGGGCACAAGTCACAGCTGCTAGCCAACAAACCCAGGACCTCATGCAGGTGCACACAAAGCCTTCAGAAGTTGCTCCACTGGTTGCAGGTTAGAACACAGACCTGGGCAGTGTAACTGTGAGTCCTTCCACTTGCCTGTTTGCTGTGCTTGAGTTGGAGATCCGGAAGCGAACCTGCTCAATAGCACTTCTTACAAGAGGGTCATTCTGGTCCATGGATGGGTGCACGACCAGATCCACCTGTGGGGGAGAGGGTGGAGTGTCTCAGAGCAGGGCAGGTTTGAACTATGGTTCCACAGCAAGATTTCCAACACACCCACAATTCAGAGAGAGGTGGAATACATGACAGATACTTTACTGTTTCAGCTGCAAGAATCAGAACTCCTTTGTGGACCATGGTGCCAAGTCTTGGATCCTAAGCCATTGGTCCTGCACTTTCTCTGGCCAAGCTGCCACATCTCACTAGTTCTTCTGATAGTGGGGCAGCTCCCACACCTGCTCTACTGAGATCCCTGACAGCACATCAATCTGGAAAAGCAAGTGTGGTCTAAGAGCAGTCTCTCTGGCTGTGTGTTGCTAGGACCCTGGCAGTGCACCTTTGAACAACTGGCAGAGGATGGAGGGATGCTTTGTCGTTACCTCCCCAGGCAGAATGGTGACAATGGTTACTATTTCTCTGATAAAATCTGGGTGTGTAGGAGTCAGGACACTAACTTTAACACTGGCAGAAGTGGCACAGGCAGGAGAAGCAAGACAGGTCATGAGTGATGAAACATGATGGGTTGGGTGCCCCAGGAGTAGCTTTCTATGCTGTCATTGCAGAGTGAAGGGCAGCAGCCCCACGCCCACAGTCCCAGCTCACCATTCTTGCTGGTAAAAAAGAAATCCCATGCCCACCTCTACACTGCATCCGATGGTGTGGGAGAATTGTCTGTATTCTGTCAATCATATTTTAATAAA